TAAAAAAGAAAAGAATGCCCTTCTCTGATTGAGTTCGACACCCCTACCCTAGATGGTTTGGCTCAGTGGATAAAGCATCTGCCTGCAGACTGAAGGGCCCCAGGTTCAATTCCCATCAAGGATACATGCCCGGGTTTTGGGCTCAAACCCCAGTAAGTGACGTGCAGGAGGCAGCCCATCAATAATTCCCTCTCATCATTGATGTTTCTCTCTCTCTTTCTCCCTCTCCCTTCTCTAAAATCAATAAAAATATATTTAAAAAAGAAAGAAATTCTAACAGGTGCTGGCAGGAGAGCAGGATTCATTGTGTGACTGATGAATTCCGGGCCCTCCGCTAGGCCAGAGGTTCAGGCCCAGGGCAGGGGGAACAGCAGAGACTAGTCCAGGGCCCCTGTGGTCTGCTTTAGGCCAGCACTCCCTCACGCCCTGGCTTCCACTTTACCCTCAAAACCATACAGGCCGTGTTGACTGGGGACACAGAGAAAGGCCATCCCAGGTGCAAGCAGAGAGCCCAGCCTCAGAGTGAACCGTCCCCCCCCCTGCACCCCACCCCCCACCCCGACCCAACAGTCCATCCAATTCACATGTTGCCTAGTGTTTCTCTAGCTTCTACTGGAATGTTTTCGTGGATCAACAGCTTACTCCTTCCTGCCAAGCTTTTGGAGAGCAAATAGGGCATGTTTGTTTGTTTGTTAGTCTTAATATGTTTTTTATGGATTTTGAGAGAGTGAGGAAGGGAAAGGGTGAGAGAGAAACATCGATGAGAGACTTCAAATTGATTGGCTGCCTCCTGCATACCCCCACTGGGGACTGAGCCCACAACTCGGGCATGAGCCCTTACCTGGAATCGAACCAGTGACCTCTTGGTGCATAGGACAATGATCTGAGCCCTACCAGCTGGGCAGGGCATGTGTTTTTTAAAAAATGAACAGATAGAATTCAATAGAATTGAGTGATCACGGAGCAATCGCATGAAGTGAAGAAAAAGCTTTGGAGTCAGATACCGGGGTTCAAAACTTAGTTTTGTGACACTGAGCACATTTTACCTTTCCAAAACTCAGTTTTACCATCTGTAAAATGGGTTCATAATCCTTGCCTCATATAACTGTGAGATTTTTTTTAAAGTGTATTCCTTTATTGATTTCAGAGAGGAAGGGAGGAGAGAGAGGTAGAAACATCAAGGATAAGAATCTTTGATCAGCTGCCTCCTGCACGCCCCCTACTGGGGATCAAGCCTGCAACCCAGACATGTGTCCTTGGCCTGAATCGAACCTGGGACCCTTCAGTCCACCGGTCAACGCTCTATCCACTCTGAGCCAAACTGGCTAGGACAATGATTGTGAGATTTATTGTAAGGAATTGACTCATGTAAGCTGGAGGCCCAGGAAAGCCAGTGATGTGATTCCAGTCCAAACACAAAGGCCTAAGCACAAACCAGAGGAGCCAATGGTGTAAGTCTCCATATGGGTCCAAAACCTGAGAAGCACCACATGTACAAGGCTGCAGGGAGTGGAGGCAGGTAGGGGTGAGAAGAGCTTAGAGTTGTGGAGCAGCCCACTGAGGGGGCACCCACATTGCGGGCGAGTGGAAAAGGTGGCAGCCACTGCCCCACCACCCGCAGCCCCCCTGGGACCCCAGCGGCTCCTTCCCCACAAGACAGACCTGAGTGATCACGGGACAGGGTCCTGCCCCCATACCACACCCCAAGGACGTCCAGGGTCTGGCCAGGCTTCCTGAGAGTGTTGCGGGTTGCAGTTTTGGGGAGACCCTGCTCCACCTAGGGCTCAGCCTCGGAACTTCAGCTTCTCGGGAACTTCCCTCTGCTCCATCTGCAGCTGACATCAACACGGCCAGATGGCGACATCTAGAGGCAGGCGCCTGCTTCCCGTTGCTTTACTAACATTCCCAGAAAAGGGCCTGTGCCAGCCCAGGGTTCCCCACCGTGTTCTCGTCAGGACATTCTCAGGACGGAGTGACCAAGCCACCAGACAGAGCTCGGAAGAGGCCCAGCCCCCCATCCCTTAATGCCAAATCCCAGTGTGGGGTCAGCAAAGCTTCTGGGACCCCAGGTGAACCCATGGATACTCTCCCCTCCCACAAGCCAAGGAGCATGTTGTTGTTTTTTTGTTTGTTTGTTTTAAATATATTTTATCAATTTTTTACAGAGAGGAAGAGAGAGGGACAGAGAGTTAGAAACATCGATGAGAGAGAAACACCAATCAGCTGCCTCCTGCACACCCCTTACTGGGGATGTGCCCGCAACCAAGGTACATGCCCTTGACTGGAATCGAACCTGGGACCTTTCAGTCAGCAGGCCAATGCTCTATCCACTGAGCCAAACGGCTTCGGCGAGCACATTATTTTGATGACATTCCCTGCCCCCAATCCACTGCTCTGCTTGGAAGCGTCATTCCAGCCACTCAGTCAGGTCCTCACAGAGCCAGCCCCTCACCTCCACCTCACCATCTGGGCCAGCCATGGGTCCTGGGTCCCGAGTGAGAATATGCAATGGCCCTCACCTTTTCTTAGCTATCCTTTTTTTTAGCTAATTGTTCATTTCCATCCATCCATACCCATGGTCTTTTCTGGTACTAGACACTCCTCACCCCCCTCCTCACTTTCATGCCACCATTTAGTTCCTCTCCTGCTTCTCTGACCTCTCTCTCTTTTGCTGGTTTCTTTTCATCTGTTCTTTTCATCTATCCATCCATCCATCCATTTATCCATCCATCTGTCCCTCCATCCTTCCTCATTCATTCTGTAGCCGGTTGGACAGGGTGCTGAGCCTGATGTTACAGGAATGAGGGTGGGGAGGAGAAAAACAGGACAACTTTTTTTTTTTTAAAGATATATTTTATTAATTTTTTACAGAGAGGAAATGAAAGAGATAGAGAGTTTAGAACATCAATGAGAGAGAAACATTGATCAGCTGCCTCCTGCACACCCCACACTGGGGATGTACCCGCAACTAAGGTACATGCCCTTGACCGGAATCGAACCTGGGACCCTTCAGTCCGCAGGTCGACGCTCTATCCACTGAGACAAACCGGCTACCCAGGACAAATGTTGGCAGCACCTGGCCATAACACCTCAAAGAAAATGGGGGCGGGGAGGGATTGAGTTAGGACTTTCTGTACTGCCCCCACCCCACCTCCCTGCTGATGAAGAGCAAGACATGTCATAATCCTAGCTGAGGTCGCCGCCTGGCCTTGCTCAAGTCTTCATCGCTGGAGGGGCTCCTCCTTTCCCACCAGCCACATCGGGCCAGTTCTCCCTCAGCCTTCACGGCAACTCTCGCCACTTCAGTGCCCTCAGAGCCTGTCCTCAGACCTGCTGGACCGGACTCACCCCTGTGCTCCTTTCCCTGGGCTGCCCCCTGCCTCCCCAATGTGCTCAATCCCGTGGCCCTCTTGGCCCCAGCTGGATGGGGCCATCCCTGGCCCGCTCCGCACGCCTGGCTCTGGTGCATGTAAGGTTTGGGCGAGATGGACTGGACAGAGCAGCAGCTCATGGCACACATTCCTTCTGTTCATAGGCTGCAGGGAGAATGGGGGTGGGCCAGTGGGAGCTTCCTATAATCCTGGGAAGGCAGGGAGAGCTAAGATCTGAGATAGAGTCAGCTTTGGAAAGTCCCTCCCAGACCATTTTTCCAGGGGGTGAGGCTAAGTAATGTGTTCAGCCAACTTATTCCCTTGCCAGCGAAGGTCAGTGGGAACTCCGGCCCCCTCGCTCCCCTCATGCTCCTCTCAGACAGGCCATTTCCCACGTGCAGCAGATCAGGAACCAAAGGAGCAAAGACACTGACCCACAGAAGACCAGGAAAGGCTTACCCACCCCAGAGGTAGCTGCTTGGAGCGCCAGCCACTCACGATTCAGAGGCTCACCAGCCTGGGAATTACTTAAGGGCGTTTAGTAGCATCAAGTAAAATGAAACCAAACACACTAGAGATTTAAGGAACAGTATAAGCCCCCTCACCTTCCAGTTAGAAAACTCAAAGAGCTTAATGTTTAAAAATTTTCATCTTTTTGAAAAATGTTTTCTTCTATTTTTATCATGTTCCAAAATGATGGGATATTGAAGCATGGGTGTTAAGTATATCTAGCTTCTTTGCAGTGCTTCTCTGCCCCATCCCCAACCACCCTGGGCCAAGACTGGGCAATGTTTTGTGAATTACTATCCCTTTCTGAGAGCCCAGTATTGGGAGGAGTGCATGTGCTGTAGACTTTTCTCAGATGCGCCCTGTTAAATATTAATGACTAATGTTCATATCATTAATAATAATAATGTATTTGCATTTTAAAAAGTACCCATTGGAGCTGTCCTGATGAGCTGTATCCCTATAGAGGCAATGAAATATAGCTGTTAGTGGGGGTGAGATGGAGTGGGGTGCTTAACTCTATCTAGGTACCTGTATAGATTTCCCCCCAAAGCTGGCTCTGCATTTAAGATTAACATACATTTAACATTTAAAAAAAATATTTTTTTTATTGATTTCAGAGAGAAAGGAGATAGAAACACCAATGATGAGAATCATTGATTTGCTGCCTTCAGCATGCCCCCCACTGGGGATCAAGCCCACAATCCAGGCATGTGCCCTTGACTGGAATCGAACCTGGGACCCTTCAGTCTGCAGGCCAATGCTCTATCCACTGAGCCAAATCAGCTAGGGCCATTTAAGACTTAACAAGCTGAGTTAAATAATATGAAGGGCCAGCAGACAGGTCTTGGCACTGAGTGTATGGAGACGCTCACAACAAAAGCCTTTACTTTTCCTTCTTTTCAGGTCCCCAGATGGTTAATACTAAATGAGGACTTCCTGTGTGGTCAGCAGCCAAAAAGTTTGCAGAGAATACTTCTCTTTTGGGTAAATTCTTCCTCTCCACCCCCTAGTGGATTCTTGAACAGACTAAAATCTTCCATGGCCAGAAACAAAGGCTGGCCTCATCGAATGCCCTAAGGACCTAAAAAAAAATTAATATTCCAACCAAAGGAAACTGAATTTCATCTTGCCTTTTTTTATTTACAAGTTTAAATACCTCTAATGGTTAGAAAATACAAACATTGGTATACAGCTTAAATACAAATGTCACTAGATATTAAAGGACTTGGTTAACAATTTTTCCAAATTGCTTAAGAAATATTTCCCAGGAGGCAGGTTAAAACGTTAGGTGCTCGAGGCGCAAAGAACAGAGCCTCAGCCTGTTCAGATGGTCGCAGTCCAAACGTGCTTCCCACTCAGTGACGCACATGGCAGCAGGACAAGCAGTGCCACCGGCCTTCGTACCCCAGCTCCCAAGCTACCCGGGGGCTTTCTGTCATGGGAAAGAGTCACATTCTGGGACAAATGAACGACTTTAAAGATGAAACTAGAATGGCTCAGTTCCAAGATATTCTGGATAAAAGAGTTAAGTCAGCCACTCATGCTAGACACATTTTCTTGTTCCATACCTTATTCTTTCCTTTAACTCATGTGGACTGTTTATATTTCACTTATGTATAAAAGGTGTCAGCCAAATCAATTGTGTCTAACCCAAACTTGACCCAGTGTGCCCAATATTAGGGATCGTTGAGCCCAATCGTACTTCTGGGTGAAATGTCTCTATGTTAACATACCTCAAAGTTAAACATTTTCTTTATATTAGCTTTACTGTTACAATGAACATCTCAGAAAACTGAATCTAAGTATTATCTTGACCTAGCATACTAATGTGAATTTAGAACTAATACCATCTTCCCTATCCATTTTGACCAATCCCAGAATTAGTAGATGTATTTTATCTACGTGTAAAATATCTAATTAGGCCACTTATTTACCAGTTTCTTACCTACAATAATGAATATGTAGTTTAAAGCACCAAAGCGTACTTTATTCCAAAGTCACAACCAAAATACTAAATGTTCAATCTTAGTTTTTAATTCATTTTAGCAGTCTCAGGACTGAAATCTTTATAAAAGGAATGATAAATGTGTTGGAAGACCTGATAAGTACCACCAACCCCTTCTCAAGCAGGAGCCCATGTGCTTCGGGAAGGTCAATGACAGCAGAACTCTGGGCAGGGAGGCACCCCTTGGTGCATTCAGAGAGAGGTGACAAGAGCCCAGTGGTTGAGCATCGACCTATGAGCCAGGAGGTCATGGTACGATCCTCAGTGTGGGGAGTGCCGAAACCTGCCAATTAATGATTCTATTTCATCATTGATGTTTCCTTTCTCCCTCTCCCTTTCTCTCTAAAATCAACAAAAATATATTAAAAAATAAAAGTCAGTCTCTACCTTAAAAAAAAAAAAAAAAAAAAAGAGCTAATAAGAGTTCACAGTGGAAAAGGCAGCCAATACACTGGCCTTTTTTCCCTCTCAATATACCAATTAGAAAGCAGGACATCTTTCTAATTAGGCAGAAAAAAACAACAATATATGCTTGGAGAAGCAACTGGGGTGCCTGTATTCTCTTGGCTGTCTCACAAATTACCCAATCGGATACATTTATGACCCTGCTGGCTCCAAAACACGATTCATGCTCTGTAATCCAAGTAAATGCTCCCAGAGTGCACCGGGGTTTAGTGGGCGTGCAGAGCAAAGGTTGTCAGACAAGCAGTCTTTGGCTCTAGCAACATACCTTCAGGGGAGCAGAATGGCAGTGATTCATGTTTTACTTCTGAGTTAAGATCTAGATTAGAAGGGATACTAGTGGCTTCAGAATAAAAGAACCAAGCTTAAGCACTCAAAAGAGAACTTGTTAAAATGAAGCCCTATTGCTAACCAGTTGCACTGAAAACCTGCAGGGAAACATCCCCAAGCTAGAAATATACCAACACAGGAATGAATGTCTCTGGGACATGGACAAACATGAGGAAGTCAATCCTAGTTATCTGCTTGTCCCCAGGCTAGAAGTATAGTGACACTTGAATGAATGTCTCTGGAACATGGACAAACATGAGGAAGTCAATCCTAGTTATTTGCTTTTCTTTCGGGGCATGGCATGAGGGGGTGAGATGAGGGGAGGGATCAACTTTTATCCTCCTGTAATATAGTACAGGAGGATAAAAATGTCAGTTTTGTGGGATTTTATTTGTGCATCCATTTAGGGACACATTTCCTGTTGCTTAAACGCCACCATAATTCATCACATGAAACTCATCTCACAAAAAAGGATCAACATTTTCCAACTGACACAAGTCTGTGTAGACCACAGAAGCCATTACAGGTTATATTTATTTTTGCCCCCACTCCTATGCTATATATGGTCCAGTTCCTGAGGAGAAGCAATGTGATTTATCCCACCTTCTAGGGGAGTGTCCCATCTGATAAATCTCCCTCTGCTCCCTTGGGGTGCACAGGGGGGAGCCTTGGTTAGTGACTACTCTCAGGTCCTTCCTGTTTCACTTCTCCAGATTCAGGCAGAATCTTAAGTCTATAATCCACCGCAATAAACCAGTCCTGCCCAATCGGCTGACATGAGAGCACATTTTCTCCTTCCCTGCAACCATGTGAAATGGAAGCATTCTTTGCAAGTAGAAGCAGCAGGATGAGGGAGCTCAGCTTAGAAAGGACAGGAATTAACGGAAGAATGTTTGAGAGGTAGAACCAGAATGGCTAACTACTATGACTAAACCCCCAGAGGCTTAAACCCTGGAGACAATATTAACGCAGGAAAGACCAGGAGTTAAGGCTTAGACAGAGGTTACCTCCCAATATGGCTCAAAAGTTCAGGGGATAGGCTCCAGTGGGAAGAACCAAAAGCCATACAAGTAAATTCCGCTGGTCCAGAGCCTAGCTCCCCTCACCCTCAGCTGGAAACCAAGTCAGGTCATTCCAAGCATGCTGACAGCAGGCCTGTTGGCAAGTTTGAGGACTCAGTTTGAAAATAAACTAAAATAGGACTAGAATGCAGCACTACAAAATGTTTTCACAAGTATAATCATGAGAAAGGCTAGAATATTGCATAGGAAAGGCTAGAATATTGCATAGAATATTGCATTTGTAAACCTAGGTCTTAGGAATTAAAACAATCAAATAAACAAAACCTCCCTTCATAGTCTGGAAGTCCATGATTATGGACTGAGGAAAATTATCAAGTTTGCAGTTTTGCAGCAAAACCTCAGAAGATCCTGAAGTTCTTTGTGTTTAGAATTGTGATTAAATTTACCACTTGGAGCCCAGCCAGGGTGGCTCAATGGTTGAGCATCGACCCATGAAGCAAGAGGTCCTAGGTTCGATTGCTGGTCAGGCTCGAGGTGTGCTGGAGCAGCCAATTGATGTTTCTTTCTCATCGATGCTTCTATCCTTCTCCCTTTCCCTCTCTCTAAAATAAATAAAAACATTTTTTTTATTTTTTTTTAATTTACCATTTGGAGGGTCAAGCTGACACAGTTTAACAACAGTTTCTTTATACAAGGATCGGGCTACATGAGCTCAAGCAAATTTTATGTCTCCATGCTCTGTTCTCTCTGCTTAGAAGAGGTGACCAAAACACCCAGGGACTGAAATCGCTGCTGTTATTTTTAAACTTAGGCTGCTTGTTCTCTTTTCTTCTCACATTAGTCTATTATTAAGCAAACTACTACACCTACTGCCCTTTTAACAGGTTTGAACAGCCAGTTTAAGAATAAGTGAAACTATCTTAGAACATTTAAATCAACCCTGGCAACAGGATGAGACATTCTTAACCTCTCTTATCATATGCATCGATTGAGTCTGAGTTAAAATACACCACGGTGACGGTGATATCATCCCTGTACATTCTGGCCAAGTCCTCTGGCAGCGTCAGCATCGCGGTCAGCCGCTCGGGATCCATCTCCCCGTACTCGTTGCTCCCGATGGCATGTCTGATCAGACGTGTGGCTGCGTTTTGGTCGGCAACGTGGAGCCCCTGGGCTTTCCTCTGCAGCAGCAGGCTCTGCATGAGGCCCAGGTTGGCCGGTCGCTGGGCCAGGTTCGGCTTGTGCCGACCTGCTTCGCCGAGGTGCTCCACCACCAGCCTCACCACATCCTCATTGTCCAGCACGTCCCACAGGCCATCTGACGCCAGCACCAGGAACTTATCCTGGGGCCTCAGCCTGTGGTACGTGATCTCAGGCTCCGCAGTCAGGTAGGGTGGAGTGTAGTAGTGTTGGGGGGTGAACTGGTAAATGTTGAGGGCCTCGGTGTCAAAGCCCCTCTCCAGGACGCTGCGCTGCAGCTCTTTGCTCCACTTCAGCTGGACATCCCCGAATGCCCGGCAGGGCATGAGGATGCCCAGCAGCCTGTCGTCCATGACGATGGTCCTGTCTTCTGACTCGGGATGCTCCCTCTTCAGCCGTGACAGCTCAGCCTGGTTCCAGGCATTGTGGTCGCAGGTGAGGGGCAGACAAGACCACAGGCCATTGTCCTCCTGGACACCGAGGATGGCCCGGCAGTCACCAGCATTTGCCACGTGCAAGTGAACCCCATCCACGTGGGCCAGGCAAGCTGTTGCCCCAGAGAAAGCAACCTGGAGTGAAAGGTTCCTTGTCATCTCGTCTTCCAAAGGGGCCTGGATTTCCAGGGAGATGTCGGAGTCGAGTCTCTGGAAGGAGTACATCAGTGCTTCCTTCACGTTCAGGCCCATTTCCATGTGCAGGTCCAGCAGCTCCTGCCAGTAAACCCGGAGGTGATCGAGGTGCACGGACGTCACATCCTTGTAGATACTGTCCCCGGGGTGCTTGAGCCACTGCAGGATGGGCAGCATGGGCTTCATGCTCTCCATCGCTCCCTCCATCTGCTCCAAGGTCTGCTGAGACATCAGCGACACTGCCACGTAGTAGAAGAGCCTCTCGCTTACTGCTTGAGCGCACGCGTGGCCGCCGTGGCCGTCGAAGACGCCAAACATCAGCCCGTTGGTCTGCAGGCAGGAGGCCACCCCTCGCCGGTCCTCCACGGGGGAATTGGCAGCCAGCTGGTTGCTCTCAAAGCGCAGCACCGAATTTGGGACTCCGCTGACGGGGTCGAGAATCTTGTGGGCTGACTCGCCGGCTCGCAACACTTCGTTCACTTGCTCAGGGCTGAGCTGCAGGTGGAAATCGTCTTCCTCTGTCGATGTGTGTCTGCAGGCTTTCGGCAGAGCGAAGCCACCACATGGGGCATTGCTTTTTAGGGTGGTGGGTACCCAGGAAAAGAGCGTCCTTTTTGATTTATTCCTACTTGAGACGCACCTTGAATATAAACGCCTGCCCCCTTGTAATGTGGCAATGCTGTTCCTCGCAGAATTTAAGATCCAGTAGGACACGGGACTTGACATTCTGAAGCTATGCCAGCAAATGTGTTTCTTCAGTAAAAGGTTTTTTTTGTTTTTTTTTTTAAACCTGGAAATGAGAGTTTCATATTTAATTTCTCAGTAATGACTTTGGAAAACGTTTATTTGCTACTATTCTGAGCAAAAGTGATTCACCTACATTTAAAAGAGTTCACTAAACTCAAAATACCTAAACAAGCCTCTCTACCTCCAATTATAGCACAGAAACACATCCCAGAAAATGTGAAAACAGGGTTTGTGTACACTCTCCACTCCTGCAGAGCCACTGTGGGCTTCTCCACAGAGCTCACTCATTCCTCAGCTGACCCAGGGATCCCCCTTTCCTCTCCTTCCCAAATCCTTTCCCTTGCTAGGGCCCAGGGCCTAGCTTCCATGTTCACTCTTCCCCGAAGACTTAAATATCTGCTTTCCCACTAGTCTGTAAGCTCCATGAATTCAGGAACTAGTGGCTTCTAGGGCCCAGCCTTGTACCTGGCACACAACAAGCCTTTAAATATTGGCTAAATGTGGACTTTTGGGGGGGGTTAATCCTCACTCAACGGTCCCGGGTTTGATTCTGGTCGGGGGCATGTTCCTTGGTTGCAGGCACATCCCCGGTGGAGGGTGTGCAGGAGGCAGATGATTGGTGTTTCTCTCTCATCGATGTTTCTGACTTTCTGTCCCTCTCCCTTCCTCTCTGTAAAAAAATCAATAAAATATATTTTAAAAAGAAAAAGAAATATGACCCTTCTGCTCAAAAAAAAAAAAAAAAAAGTAGTTATTACTTTTATCATTAGGTGTATTGTTCTCCAATCATTCTACACACATTTTCATATAGTTGTCACCACAACTTTTAATTCGTTTTCCTGTTAAGGACATTTTGTCCGTACTACATTTCGCGGATGTGTAATACTACATTTTGACATAGACAATCACAATTTACTTAACTATTGCCTCTTGTTGGAAATAGGAGGGTCATTTCCACTGCTCTCTCTCTCTCTCTTTTTTTAAAATATATTTTATTGAGAGGAAGAGAGAGGGAAAGAGAGTTAGAAACATGGATGAGAAACATCAATCAGCTGCCTCTTGCACACCCCCTACTGGGGATGTGCCGGCAACCAAGGTACATGCCTTTGACCGGAATCGAACCTGGGACCTTTCAGTCTGCAGGCCCATGCTCTATCCATTGAGCCAAACCGGTTTCGGCTCCACTGCTCTTTATAAAACACCAAACTGTCCTGCCCTATGCATCAACCTACTTAGTTTCCATCCTCCTTACTTGGCAGGCGAGCTATTAGTAGGTCAAAGGCAGTGGATGCATATTGCCAAACCAGTCTCCACCAGGGTCACATCTGCCTCTGCGAAGGCACGGAGGAAACAGTTTCCTAGTGCCTTCAACCGCCTTTGGAGGCATTTTTTCTCTTGGACGACGACAACAAAAGCTGCTTTATTTTCTATTTCCTCGGGTGACCCCAGGAGAAAGGCGCGTGTCCCACGTGTTTTCGGATTCCGCTTAGAAATCCTGCCCTCCCCCCCAAGTGTGTCTGCTGGGGTATCCGAAGAGCTCGCAGAGCTGAGGATCGTCCTCCTCCCCCCCCGCCCCTCCCCCAGCCCACCCTGCTGAACTTGGGGCAGGAGCGGAGGGTCTGGGTGAACCGAGGGTGCCTGTCTCCACGCCCCCCCCCCGCACCCCGCCACCCCGAGAGGCCAGGCAGCGAGCCCCCCCACGCAAGGCGTTCTGCCGCAGCCCCGATCCCTAAAAGAAGCAAACGGGTCCCAAGTTCAAGCCTCTGACCCACGGTTTCCTAGATAAGAGCGCAGCCTCCGGAGTCCACCCAGCCCAGATCTCTCGCTCAAAACCGGGCGCGGCCAGATCGCTGAGCCTTAGCTTCTTCCCAGAGCCGGTGAAATAAGAAAGATTCAGCCCAGACGCCCCACTCTCTCAGGGGTTAAAAGTGGCCAGCTAGTGTCCGGGGCGCAGCAAGGGTCCTAGGCTGGCCGCGAACCCACGTGGCGGGTGGCGCGAGTGGGGTGACCGGGGCTGCGTCCCGCCCCCTCACCTCACCTCATCCGACCTCCCATCACCCGAGACGCGATGCCGCGCGCGCGGGAGGCCCGGGCGCCCAGGGGCCCCGGCGGGGAGACAAGCGCCCAGAGCCCGCGCCCGTCCCCTCCCCAACCGCGGCCCTTCGCGCCGCCCTCACCAGCCGGAGCCGCCGCCGCGGGGTCCGTCCCGCCCGAGCCGCCGCCCCTGCGAACAGCGCCGCGCCCGCCGCCGCCCGGCCGCCGCTCACCGCCGCTGGGGCAACTCCAGAAGGAAGCTCCCTCCCGCCCGCCCTTATTGGTTCAGCTGAGGAGGCGGGCCCTTGACGGACAGGGGCATTGCCCAATGGCTGAGGGGGGGCGAGGGGGCGGGCCTACAGGATCCGGTTCCGCCCCCCCTACTCCCGCCAAGCCAGGCTCCTACCCAAAGCGGGTGAGAGCAGAGCGGGTCAATGGGTCCATTCAGTCCTTTGGCCCGGCGCCCCAATACGTGACCTTCCCGACTATGCACACCCCCAAACCCGGAGCCTTTCCAATTCCTTCCTGTTGTTAGTGATACCCCACGTCCAGACCCCTTGCCCACAGTAAGTAGGTACATAATTACATGAACATATTTTATTGTTAGTTTATAACTTAATTTGATTGTTATAAAGTCACTATATTTTAAAAATTATTTAAATCTTAAACCTATATTTCTTTCTAAATAATAACAATACTAACTTTTGTATTATTTTTCCTCTGAATTTGCCGTAACTTAAGTCGTGTCACTTTCAAGGTGCCAGACTTTTTGCCACCACTATAAAATATAAATAATACGAGTACTGTCTGTTAAATTCAAGAAAATTTATATATTTATGAAATAAATACATAAATTACTTACCTAAATTATCTGGATAGCTGATTTGTAATGACATCACTTGTTTAACTAGCTACTAGCACGCAGTACTATGTGTGTATCCTCTGAAAGACAGTTACAAAATGTTTTTGTCGTTGCCAATCCCCAAAAATGCCATTGTTCATTAAGTCCAAGCAATGGTGGTCGAATTCTAACAACTGATCAACAATGCGAACTTTGATAAGCAGTTCTCGATAATTAGTTCTCAACAGTTATTTGTTATTATTAAAGTTTAACATTATAAAATTAACAAAAATAATATTAAACTCATATCCTGACTAAATAGCCACATGGCCGCCGAAAACCGTATGTTCTCTTCCTGTTCTCCCGCCGTTCCCTAGCTTGTGAATTCTTTCCAAAAATCGGGACTTTTTCAAAACGCCGCGGGACGCGGGACAAATTGTTGCAAACCGGGACTGTCCCGCCTAAAGCGGAACATATGGTCACCTTACTCTTGCCCAAGCACCACACACTCACATTCAACCACCTGGACCCCTCCCTCCCACCTCCACCCCCTGCTGGAGGCCCCTTTGTGCCCCAAACACAACTGGCCCAGACTCACCTTCCTGCCAAACCAGCTCTTTTCCTCCTCCCCTAGCCCAGAAATGGTCCCATCATCTGCCCATAGACTCAAGCCAGAATCCTGGGAGTCATCTCCACTCCCCCTTCCACTTCCCCCTGCCTCCCCCTCCCCCAGTTATCTAATACTGTTAATTTTATTTTCTACATATTTCCCCAACCCAAACATTTACCTCCAGCTACTCTATCACCCTATTATTCCAAGCCTCTCATCTGGTCTCCGCAATTCCAGTTTTAACAGCTTTAGCCATCCTTTCTCTACAGAGCAGGCCCTTCTAGAACTCAGATTATTGTCCCAAAGTCTTCACTGACTCCCCACTGACCTCTGGGCCTTGAACTGACAATTACATTGGCCTGACTACTTACAGTTCCCACAAATGGTTAGTGGTTACTAGGTTGAGAAAAGCTGACAGCCAGGACATCAGATATTCATTCCTTCAGTCCTTTCCATCGTGTGGTTGCAGGTTTCACTTTCTTCCTTATATATTTTAATAGAACTCCTCTACATGCCCTAGCTGGTTTTGCTCAGTGGACAGAGCGTTGGCCCTCTGACTAAAGGGTCCTGGGTTTGATTCTGGTCAAGGGAACATACCTCGGTTGCAGGCTCAATTCCCATCCCTGGTGGGGGCCCTTATGGGAGGCAACCAATCGATGGATGTATCTCTCTCACATCGAGGTTTCTCTCTATGTGTTTCTCCCCCTCCCTTCTACTTTTCTCTAAAAATCAAGGGAAAAATATCCTCAGGTGAGGATTAACAAAACAACAAGAAGAAAGAAAGAAGAGAGAAAGAAAGAAAGGAAGGAAGGAAGGAAGGAAGGAAGGAAGGAAGGGAGGGAGGGAGGGAGGGAGGGAGAGAGAGAGAGAGAGAGAGAGAGAGAGAGGAAGGAAGGAAGGAAGGAAGGAAGGAAGGAAGGAAGGAAGGAGGAAGGAAGAAAGGAAGAGAAAGAAAGGAAGGAAGGAAGGAAGGAAGGAGGAAGGGAAGGAAGGAAGGAAGGAAGGAAGGAAGGAAAGAAAGAAAGCTCCCCGGGGAACCTATACGCCAGTTCTCAAAAGAACTTTTCTACTAACTGGTAAGTCAAATGCAACCCGACCTGGAACCAGAAAAGTCCTCTGAGAACCTTGAGAACGTGGTCTTACCTGGGGAGCCTGGCCAGCCCACCCATCCCAGACCTAAGGATGTGCTTGCCATAAAACTGCTTTCATCATGTGATATTTATCCAGCCACTCACCCTTAGCCCTTTCTGGAAGTACTACCAGTAAGTCAGAATTTCCAACATCTTCCTAGATCTCGAAAGAGGGCTGTTTCAGACTCAAACTAAAAATAACTGAAAGAGTCTGGTTGGCATAGCTCAGTGGTTGAGCAACAACCTATGAACCAGGAGGTCACAGTTCAATTATCGGTCAGGGCACATGCCTGGGGTTGTGAGCTGGATCCCCAGTGTGGGGTGTGCGGGAGGCTGTCAATCAATGATTCTCTCTCATCATTGACGTTTCTATCTCTCTCTCCCACTCTTTTCCTCTCTGAAATCAATAAAAACATATTTAAAATAACTGGAAGGGATTATAAATAAGTGGATGTATCAACATAAGAATGTACAAGTCTGTAGAGAATTTTTATGAGTTTGTTTGACGCACAACTGACGACATATGCCAGGGAACAAAATCTGAAATGCTCCAGAGAATAACGGTTTTGCAACTTCTTTTATGCATTTGAAATTAATGAGGGAACATAAGGAAGATTCCATGAGGGTGGGAGAAAGCAAAGGTTAGATGATTATGTGCTTGCTTTAGGGTGGTTATGCCTTTCAGTGACTGCCCAATTAGGAATTTATGATTTATTACAGCACCCCTTTTCGATCCACAGGTGCAAAATGTTTTGTGTGGTTTTTAAAAATATTTTTTATTGATTTTTTTACAGAGAGGAAGAGAAAGAGATAGAATTAGAAACATCGATCAGCTGCTTCCTGCATACCCCCTACTGGGGATGTGCCCACAACCAAGGTACATGCCCTTGACCGGAATTGAACCTGGGACCCTTCAGTCCACAGGCTGATGCTCTATCCACTGAGCCAAACCAGTTTCAGCTGTGGGTTTTTGGTTTGTTTTTTTGTATAGATAGTTCATTTGGGGTTACAGAGGGTTATCCCTTAGGACTGGGGCAGCACAGTTTAATTACTCAATCTGTGAGCATTTATGGGCACCTACAATGTGTCAGGCTCTGGGCCAACTACAGGAGACACGCAGCTGGCTGCCCCTCCCACACTTTCCTGAGAAAAATTATCTCACTCCACTAAATCTGAAACCACAGAGTTTTTCTAACTTACCACACACACATCCATTTCCAAAGTAAAAATGCACCCTTGGGGATTGTGCCTGTACTGGAACTTTACAGCTATAACCAGATCAGTCACCCAGTATATGTTGGCCAACTCAAGAACCCCATCTTGTCTCCCAACACTTCTTTGAGTCAAGCTCTTATAAGAAAAGAAAATTAAGAAAAAGGAGTTATTTCTGAAACTGGATTGGCTCATTGGATAGAGCGTTGGCTTGCGGACTGAAAGGTCCCAGGTTCGATTCTGGTCAAGGGCATGTACCTTGGTTATGGGCATATCCCCAGTGGGGGATGTGCAAGAGGCAGCTGATGGATTATTCTCTAATTGATGTTTCTAACTCTCTATCCCTCTCTCTTCCTCTCTGTAAAAAAAAAAATTAATAAAATATATTACAAAAAAAGAAAAGAAAAAGAAAAAGCAGTGATTTCTCCCTTGAGAAAGGGAAAGCAGCAGATCGGGTGCCATTTTTCTGAGAAAAAAAAAATTGAAATGGGCAGCCTCACTCAAAACCAAACAAATGTGAACTAAAATGAGATACTAATTTTTGTCAATCAACCAAGATGTGATTAATACTTAATGTGGGCGAGTGGGCATTGTCATCTAGGCAGGTGGGAGAGTGAATTGGGGCTACCCAATGGACAGACCTTTGATCCACTAATTCTACTTCTTTTAATTTATCCTAAACAGAGAGTTGAAGGTAAGCACTACAAATTTTCTATCAGCAACTTACATACATGTTAATCCATCCAGCATATCTTATGTGATTAGAGCCACTTGGAAAAGGCAATTGTGTGGGCCTTGTAGTTGTCATTTGTACTCCAGGTTGAGATAGAATGACCCATATTCTTCTCTCTCTCTCTCTCTCTCTCTCTCTCTCTCTCTCTCTCTCTCTATATATATATATATATATATATATATATATATATATATATATATATTGATTTAAAAAAATTTTTTCTTTTACAGAAAGGAGGAGAGAGGGATAGAGCATTAGAAACATAAATGAGAGAGAATCATCGATCAGCTGCCTCTTGCACACCCCCCCCCTGGGGATGTGCCCG